TTATAACGTCACATTGTCAAAATCATTATAATTGTAATTTAAATTCGATCAAATATACGTAGAATAATTGAACATAACTGTTTATACTCAGAGTGAAAGTAAACTGAACGATAAATGTTTTTAGAAAACTATTAAAGTTTGAAATGATGATCGACAGATACTTTTTGATTATTTGCTTATTAGGATTTCGATTTTTTATTGTAATTATTCGTTTGACATTCAGTTCAATTTATAATTTATATTTAATAGAAAATTTGTCAAAGTTAACAACAATAAACAAAATCAGAGTGGAATATGTTTTATGTAGAGAATCGCCCAAAAGTTACCTACTACGAAAAAAAACTTGAATACCTCTATTGTACTTTAATTAAAACAGTAATTCGTTGTTTCTGATGATAGAAGAAAGATTCAAAGTTTGTATTCTTATGTGAGACGTTTAGAAGTACTATATTCAAAGTCATCCATTTTAATTGAAATTGTAAAACTTTATACAAGTTGGTCCAAGAGTAAGGATACATAGAATTTGTTCGATTTCTTCTTTGTATATGATCAATTAGGTCTCATAGTTATACAACATATACTAATCTTACTGCTCATCTTTGACTGTATGAGAAATTTCGATGTTTTTTGAATTCTATAGTTTTGTCTGCTTATCCAGATTTCATTAGATTTTGTATTGATTTAGCCTAACAGAGGTGAAAATTAATTAAATGATATTCATTTCACAGATCAGTATAAGCAGACGAAGCTATAGAATTCAAAAAACGTGGAATTTCTCCTACAGTCAATGACGAACAATAAGGTATAGTTGCATGTTTTTTAAACAAATTATTATAACCAAAGATTGAGCATATGCTACAACTTTTACTACGTTGTATCGCCTAGTGTATACGGTATAACAACAAGACCTAATTGACCATGTACAAAGAAAAAATTGAAAAAATTCTGTATTCCCTTACTTTGGAACCACCCTGTATTAAGAAGAGACTATATTCAAATATCTTGAAATTTTCTGCACATCATAGTGTAAGTAAGTGCTTTATGCAAGTTAAGTTTTAGGTCAGAATTCAATAATTAAATTGTATGCAAAATATAGGAGCTTATTGAAGGAAGCAGCAAAGTGAGACTTCTATAAGTTTGTTAATCCTAATCGATTTTTTTGAATTCTTTTCGATTATAACTTAAAAAAGTTCACCATGTCGCTCCTTGAATTCTATCGAAGTAAAATCAGTAGAAATTTAATGGCTTCATTAACATGCGACAACAACACAAAATCCTCAGAAGTTTTTCTAGTCTAGTGGTTCTCTGCTAATGAGCAAAATATGAACTCAACAAAAGTCTTTAATCATTTACTACTCTGTTTTATAAATATACTTGTCAATTAAAAAAAAAAGTTAACTTTTGTATTCCAATCAAGAATAACAGCTTTGAACATCATTGCAAATCTTTATTGGTATTTAACTTGTGAGACACCTTGGCTATATTAATTTTATTTTTGAATTCGTTTGTTTATGAAAATAAAAGTCGATTCGTTTAATAAGAAACCAGTGTTCATATTTTATATGTTGAGAAAAAAGTAATTTTCTAATTCGAAACGATAAATTATAAGTTGAATGGGATGAATAAATTATAAACTTTGCTCATTGGAAGTTGAATTTAAATTGTCGTGTGTTCACAACTTCTATTTCATTCAGTTGAATCTATTCGATTTTTATTATTTAACTAAAAAGTAAAACATACAACATTCATTTAGATTACAATGATCGATTATTTCTTTAAAATAATTCTCATACAACAAAAGAAAAAATTGTTCAAACAATTGAATCCATACAATCAAACCTCTCGTGAATGAACACTGTCTGAACTTTTAACAACTATTCATCTGTGGGAGATGTTTTTATCTATAAACTTTTTTATTAGTTTTTAAATAATCAGACACCATTAACTGTGATATTTATCATCTTTCATTCGAATATTGATAAATCAAAAAGTTTTCAACAAAATATAAAACTTTGCTTTAGTTCACAAAAATTCTCTGTTAATATTTTAGCCTCGATATATAGTTGCTGTATTTTTGAGTTTTCTTCTTGATGGTAATATCTAGGAAAAAGCTGAAAGAATATTTGCGTAGCCCAAGTATTTTCTATCAGGATTGATGGACCTAAAAATCTCAATAAAACTGCTTGGATGAGAATGTCTGGAAAGTCAAGATATACAAAAAACCAGTTTTCTGACATTGATTTGAAGTTTTTTGTAAATTATTTTATTTCATAGATAAACAATGAGATGTTTTGGCTCTCTTCATAGGCTTTCTTCATCGAACTACATTCAATTTATTGAACCCTTTAAAGCGTTAAACACGACGAAATCGTTGAAATTTTTCAGAGAACAAAAGAACAATGGTTCTCTTAGAGCTTCTTTAAGTTGAATGCAGTTGTATGAAGGAACTTCATGAAGAGAATCGAGGCATCTCATTTTGTTCTATCAAATGAAACCATGTTCAAAAAACGCTTCAAATCGATGCCAAAAACTGTTTTTGGAGGTCTTGATTTTCTAAACATTCTTATCCAAGTAGTTTTATTGGAGATTTTAGATTCACAAATCCCGATAGAGAATTCTTTTAGTTACTCAAATGGTGTTTCATATTCTTCGTAGTTATTACCATCGACAAGGAAATTTAATAAACATTGCTTCACAATTCATCCAAATATAATATTATCATCAAGTTTTATTACATGAAAACTTTTGATTTTTTGTTTTAAAATATTGCATACAGAACCAAGTGAAATATTCGATTTCTCAGCTAATGCAGTGTGATGAACCATAAATTTCGTCATTATTAGTACTGAATTGAATTCTTTTATTTAATTTAAAGTGATGTTTTGTTTTTATTGCTTTGCTTTGCTTGATTTGTACAATAATAACAAATGATGAACAACAGTTTTAGTGCATTAGCCAGACCATGATAAAGAGGAGAGGGAGAAAAAAAGTACACGTGTATTCATTTAAAAAACGTTAAGATAGAAAGCGGGATGTCAAGACAATATTCAAATTCAAAATACACACATGTTTGCTTATCGAAGATGCATTTCCAGCAAAAGTAAAGCTTTGTAACATCGAGGTATCGTTCAAAATGAGTGACGGTCACTAATAGATATTTCCTTATATATGTATATATAGTTAGATAGAATATGACGAGGTGGTCAGTAATATATGTTTTTATATTTTTGAATTGATTCTTTAGAGGAAAAATTTCAGTTTATTCGGGCAACCTACTTTTTTGACATCGAGGGAAATTTTTGATAAATGACAAAATATCAATGTATTTTGTTTTGCCTTAAATTTCAAAATTGTGTGTTTCAGATTCAGCATGAAAAACTAAATCTAGAAAAGTCATACATAAATGGCTTTACTATATGCAGTTTTTCACGTTAAATCTGAATAAACAATTTTGAAATGTGAGGATAAAGAAAAATAAACCGTTCTCTTCTGTGTCAGAAAAAGTACGTCATCGGAAATAACTGAAGTTTTCCCCTAAAAAGTGATTTCAAAAAACTAAAGACATCTTTATTCTTGACGAGCTTGTCACATTGTATCTAACCATATACAGTCCAGGAAAATTGAAATTCTATTCTTTGATGTTTTTCGTTTGCTATTACTATACGTTTTTTATCTATTAACCTACTATATTCAGGGGAAAAAGCTCAAAACGTGCCGCATCTGTTGATATATTTACGTTGAATATCAAATGCAGTTTAAAATGTAAAAAGTGTATTAGAAAAAAAGTGACATTTGTTTTTACTACAGGATGTCCATAATGTTGTAACATTTTTTATTTGGCACATATCTCGGCTTAGATAAATGATAAAACCTTGAATTCTTTTCCAAAAGATGCATCGAACAAGTTCTACAAAAGCTGTATGATTGAATTCCTTTTTACCTGTTCTGACGGTTTTTCTTATACTTAAAATGAACAACTTGCACGGCAATGATACTTATCATATAGAAAATATTTTCGACGACTTTTCTGGTTCACAATAGGATTTCATCTATATACGTTTTGTGGAGCTTTCGTCGGCACATCTTTTAATAACCAACTCAATATTTCATCATTTTCTCAAGTCGAGATATATGCGAAATAAAAAATATTACAACATTATGGACATTCTAGTAAAAACAAATGTCACTTTTTTCTAATATACTTTTTTGCATTTTTAAATGCATTTGATGTTCAACGTAAATATACCAAAAGATGCGGCACGTTCCAGGCTTTCTTCATATATATGTATATAGTAGGCTAATGTATAAAAGACGCGTAATAATAAAAAACAAAACAAGTCAAAGGAAATAATTTCAATTTTCTTGGACTCTCTCTATATATAAGTCTACTTTGACTTTGAATTTGTGCCACTTTTATTTGAACTATAATCGACCAGTAAAATGTATTTTGGTATATGCAACATGAATATCTCTTTTTAATCATCATTGTCAATATAATTGTCTTCAAATATATATTGACATGTATTTACGTTTACAATAATCATTTGATCTTTGTTCGCAATTATGTATTAGCTTTTAATAAATGAAAAACAAGCCTCTTGTGATGAAATTTCTTTATTTATTATGTCCAATCAAATATTCGTTTTCTTCAAATTGTTTTGTTGTCATTGCTTTCAGGTAATTTTTATTTTTCTTATACTATATTTGACATACATAATAGCACTATGGACGGATAGGTAGTCACATGACTGTTCTTTTGTCATGATTTATTATTTTGTGTTCGAATTTTTTGCTCACCATTGCATGACTCGATAATCATAGCTGATCAAATGATTATTTTATGTGTATGAAATAAATGATGCTTAAGTTAGAAGTATGATGTTTACCAAGTAGACTATACATTATTACAGTGAATAACGCAATTAGATTATAATTATATTTTAGTTTTTCTCTTATTAGAGAAATTAATTTTTCTTTCTTTTTAAGATAAATATATAAAAATGGAACATATACATTGGACTGAAAAATCAATTGAATTTGAAAATTTAATTGATGATTCAACTATAAAAAAACCAACACTTGGTAAATTCTAATATATATAATTAAAGATAAAAGATTTATTTTTTTTTGTCTAGCTCAAATAGGTAATAAAACAATTGTTGTTGGAGTAAAAATAGATGGAGAGTTTATTATGGCATCACCATGTAAAGCATATAATGATCAATTTATTCCTATGGAACAAGAAATTGTTTTATCAAGTAAACATCAAGGTTGGTTGTTTTTAGATAAATATAATAAAAGAAATAAAAAGAAAATAGTTAATATGTTTTTTTCCTCGTTTAGGTATATGGAAAGTAATATCGAGAGTAACATCAAAAAAAGAAGATCGTATTCATCGTTTATCTACACAAGATATTGAAAGAATTTATATACAAGATATGAAAAATGATCGTTTAATACCTCGTTTATATATTTGTACAAAAGAGATAGAAGTATTTGATCTTATCATTCATAGTAACGGTATTATTATATTATCTTCGTCTTTTTTTTTCATTTTCTCATTCATTTTCATTAAGATTTAACTGTTGTTGATGGACAACGAATTATTCGACAAATGATGCGCATCGAAGAAAATGTTCAATTTGAAATATGTGACATTGGTGAAATTGAATATACACCAACAGAAAATGAACTAACATCACAAGATTATATAATCGTGCCAAAAAGAAAATCACGTCTACTTTTTGCTTTTCGTAAAACGGGCAGTATCGATGAAGAAAAATTAATTCGTAATCGTGTTTTACGTTCATTATATTGTGTTACAAAAAATGAACCATATCCCCGTTATTTTTTTCTTGAAGTCAATGAAAAACCATGTGACATACATCCAATAGCTTCTGAAGGATCATCAGAATTACGTTATCTTCATTCTACACAAAATCTATTTGATTATATCTCAAGTTATGAAAGTAATATTTCACTTTTTGTTAAATTACTTCAAGGTAATAAAAAAAATTATTTTAATTAATTTTAAACAAAACAAAAAGAAAATATTTTATTTTTATGATTTAGGTAAGGTACCAAGAAAAGCAATTAACTCCAATGGTTATATGTTATTCAGAAGAACTTTAATTGGTGATAAAGTTCCTATATATCTTATTAAAGATCATGTAATATGTCTTGTTAATCCAGATCTTCCTGTTGAAGTTAAAGTACCAATAAACCGGCATAGATGGCATACATTATTAGATACTCGCAAAGCTGAACTTAAATGTATGCAATTATCACTTACATTACTTTCTCGAGATGAATCAGAAATTTATGTTACAGTTGAAGATGATAAAATTATAGCTAATTATTTAAAGTCAAATGATAATCCACAACAACAACAATCATCTGATAGAAATGAAAAACATACTGATGACGTTAAAATTATTCGTTATAGTCAAATATTGAGTTCTAAAACTGGAAATAATACGCATTTGAAACAATTAACATCAACAAAAAATTTTTCAAATAATGATAAAATACTTTCCAATCAACAAAAAACAAAATTAACAAAATCGACACCATTTACTCATTCGACATCAGATAAATTTTGCCAAAATCATGATAAACAAATAAAACAAAATGGTAACAAAAATAAACGACAACATTCAAAACAAGATGAAAAATCTCATGAAATTCAACAAACAATTTTTCAAGATAAATCAATTTTATTATCATCATCCTTATCTTCTTCGACTTTTAATAAACATAAACATTAAAACTAGTATTTAATTTAAAGAAAAATACAAAACAAAAGAATCGAACACTGTAAAAACGTTTTTTCTCTTCGTTGTTTTTTTGTATAAAATACATTTTTGCTGTTGATTAAATATTATTATTTACGACGATATGTGCTATCAAAAATATTTAAAAGTACAACAAACATTTAAATGAAAACAAAAAGAAAAAAGGTGCATGTGTGTAAACATTATACTACTGGAGCTCCCTTGACATACATCGTAAAATTTGAAAAAGGTAAAGAAAAACCAAAAAGTAAGATTGAAAATTGCGACAACAAAGAAAATTGAATATCGATTTTTCAAATAATGACGGAAAAAATAAGAATTTTCTTTGCTTTTCATTTTTGCATCACGAATTTCCATTAAAATAATGAATTTAAAACTTTCAGTGTATGCAATCAATAATGCACATTACATTTTGAATGCAAAAAAAACTATACAGTACATACTCGCTTTATTTCTTCCTTTGTATCAACGTAGATAAGTAATTTAAAATAGCCTCTGAATCAAATATCATCGCCATTTTCGTTGTAACTTATTGAAATTATTATTATGCCTCGTAGAATCATCGCAAATCCTTGGCAGTAAGTTAATTTAAATTTTACATCGAATAGAAAAAAGCTAGATTAATTATTGTTTGTACATTCAAGAATTGACGATTCAGATAGCGAAGATGAGATTAATAATCAATATGATGTTCGTATGTCGTTACCATCAAAACCATCAACACCAATGGTAAATTCAAGATATAAATATATATTTATATATTTTTGTCTTTTGTTTAATTTTAAGGCTTTAGCACGACGAAGTGAACCAAGAATTCTCGATTGGCATCCAGTAGAAAATGAAGAAAAACCGAAAGGTACGATCGAAAAATTGTATTATCATTGTAATTAGTATTGTGTTAAATATAGGGAAATTCGGTGCAAGAAAAACAGCTCCATCATTTGAAAAAGCACCATCATTTCATAAACCACCCTTCTCTGGACCATTATATTTACGATCTGGGTTATCATCATCTCATTCAATCTTGCGACAAAAAGAACAAACGAAAATAGTAATTATCAATATTTCTGAAACGCTTCTAATTCATATAAATATTTTGATTTTTGTTGAACTTATTATTATTGCTTTTTTCTTTTCGTTAAACATTTAGCCATTTCCGCTGATTGCACGAACAAGTTTTGATCCAATGTTATGTATTGAAGAAGATCTAAATAAATTTATTTATACATATATTCCACAGGATTATTCACCATTTATTCATTGTTATCTTCGACGTGATAAAAGCAGTATACAAAAAGGATTTTTTCCAACATTTTATTTACATATTGAATGTTCTCATGATGATAAAAAAGTATGTAATTAAAAAAGAGAAAGAAAAACAAAACCTCATTTTAATCGTTTTCTTCTTAAGATTTTGCTTTTATCTGCACGAAAAGTAGCCAAAGTAAATCAACAAGCCGAATATATAATTACAACTAAAATTGAAACTTTACATGAAAAATCAGGTGGTGATGGATTTGTTGGAAGGCTACAAGAAACTAATATGAAAGGCACGGAATATACACTCTATGATAATGGTATAAGTCCAAAGAAATATAAAAAATTACATTCAAATGATAAAAATGGTTTACGACGTGAATTAATATCCATAATTTATGTAAGTGTCCGAAAAAGATATTTGTATTGCTGAAAGGATTCTCTATTAAGATTGGTAGATTCGATGACTCCAATAAAATTAAAATCAGCTTCCTGAATTTCATTTGAAAGTTTTTAGTAAAAAATTTCATTTGATAGAGTAAAATGAAACATCTCCGATCTGTCCATGACTTTTCTTTGTCGAACTGCATTCAACCCACAGAAAGCCCAAGAAGCATTTTTTAATTGAAAATTTTAATGCTTTTGCTATGTTTGACGCTTCGGGCTATTCTAAAGATTGAATGTAGTTTGATGGAAGAGGGCGTAGACATTTTTTTGTTCTCTCAAAGAAAGTCTTTTCTCAAAAGCTTCGAATGGAAGACATAAAATTGATTTTGGTAGCCTTTTTTTTCATAAATCCTTGTCCAAGCAGTTTTGTGGAAGTCTTTGATTCTACTTAACTTAAAAATACAGTTAGTCCAAACTTTCATCCGCTACTATATATAATTATATGTATAAGAGGAAGTAAGAAATATTCATATTTTCGACTTGGAACAGATATGAAGTACTACAAAGAATATACTAATATGTTTATTGAATTAAAACACTGGACATTTGTAAAGACTATGAATACTCATAGTTATGTTGACTTTTAAGTATACAAGATATTTTACAAATAAATACTAAGTTATTTTTTTACAATTAAAATCAAAGTAACCATGAGTGTTCGAATGATATCGTTTCGAATTCTATCTTGTTTTTTTCCGTTTTCCTAGTGTCCATGAGCGTCCGTAGTTTTTGTAGATATCCTTAAAACTATAACTTATGAAACAACATGTTCGTAATGTTGAAATCATTTGTAGTTCAATTTTTAGATGCAGATAAATCGAAATTCAAAGTTTACTCTCACAACAATCTTCCTAATGCTGTAATTTACTACTTAAAAATAGTTCGAGTGTATTGAATATATTATTAATATGTGAAAGTTTATTGAAACTGTAACTATTCATTAAAGTACATTGTGTTTTGATTGAAATATATAGAATATCTGTTTATTGGATTTTTCCAAACAACATTATATCGTTTGTTTAAAGTCTAGTGAAATAGACATAATTTGAATATAATTGCTAAATGTGAAAATAAATTCTTGAATGTTTTTTTTCATACGTCAAAATAAAAATGTATACCGAGAGACATTGACGAAATCAAGTTGACTGTAAAAATTTAAATGAATTTTTTTCAAAAATTCTTCACATAAAATGTTTATGTTGGCCAGACTATCAATGAAAGAATATGAACTATCTATAAAGCAGAATCCTTTACTGCTTCAATAAAACAATAAAGATCCCATCCAGAAATTTTTTTTGGTAGATTTCGATAATATTTCAAAAAAACTTCTGTATATCTATTTTATCCTTCATCAAATATTTTCATGTAGAAACTTTCGGACTACTTTATTCACACGAAACAATATTGATCATTTAAGTTGAAAACCTAAACTCACCTTAATTAGTATCTTTACAAATTAATATGTAATAAGAAGAAAAAACGTTGATTAATTTCCCTTTTCTAGAATACAAATGTTCTTGGTTTCAAAGGTCCACGACAAATCAATGCTGTTATACCTCAAATCGGCTATAACATTCAACCAACAAAAGTAAATTATATCAAATTCTTCTGTACAATAGAAATTTTTTCGTATAAATCTTAGGATGAGGACACAATTCTTGATCAATGGCGAGATAGACGATTTACTTATTTAACTCAATTACGAAATCGATTACCAAAACGAATTGATGGTAAAAATAAAATTTTTTTGAGTTATACTTTTCATTTTTAATTTATCATTATTCTTTTCTATATAATTAATCAAGGAAAAAAAGGCCATGCACTAGAATTTATTGGTCAATATGAGATACAAACATCAGTTAAAAATTTTCAAATGGTTATAGACAATGAAAATCGTAAGTTAGATATTTATATATTCTATTAAATCTAGCAATGTTTTATTTTTGTATTTGTATAGTTGAAGAAGAAGTTATTATGCAATTTGGTCGTGTTACAGATGATACATTTATATTAGATTATCGTTATCCACTTTCAGCTATTCAAGCTTTTAGTATTGCACTTAGTGCATTCGATAGTCGTTTTGCTCGCGAATGAACATAGGTTTTTTTCTTGTATATAGAAATATTTGAAATATTAAAAAAAACAATTTATTTTCTATATTTTGATGTATTAATTGACAGAATTGTTGCCTTACTCTTGATACTTCACAATGAAAATAAAAAATAGATATTAAAATTCTTTAATTTGAGAAAAAATTGGTTTTTAGATGAACGATAAAAATGAAATCTTTGAAGCGGTTGCTGGACATGATACAAAAGACTTTGAATGATTTTCATGATGATAATAATAATAAAATAAAAGTTTAGAAAATTTTAGAAAAAGAATGAATTTTTATCATCGCATCGTTTCTCACAATAATCAAATGAACTTGAACTTGAATTTATTTTTGACTTGAATTATTAGTGTAAGTTTATTATTGATAAGAGATAATATTGTATTTTTACTGGTAAAAGCTAAAACATTAAACAATGATATGTGCTCCATAAGATTCCAAAGAAATCGAAGTTGAAGTTGACATAAATTATCGAAACTGAAAACATTTTTTTCATGTAACATAACTTAGAGGATATTATTTTATTATACTAATTTAATAGAATCATTTCGCGTGACAAGATCTTGGTAGTCATTCCACGTAATATCTTGATTATACAAATATATTTAAAAATTTAATCTAGTTTAATTTTTCTCTATAAAATATCTATGTATTAATTCATAATACTCTCAAATTAGATATAATTCACGGTAGTACACTAATCCTTAATTACAGATTATATCGGAACATGCAGGGTATTGCTAATTTATTAAGAGAAATGTTTTCAGAGTCAGAGCTAATAAAATTTATCTCCATGGGTCTCAGCCTGTTACCAGTATGTCACAGGATCTTGTTTGGGGACCCTGCTGAGAATTGCCTGACGGGAGAAGCTCTCCAGCTGATAAATCACTTTTGAGTCAAAAGTATGTGCATTATGTAGACACAAATAAGCTATGAATATCTTGGCGAGAGTTCGTGTCCGTAGATTATCGTTGCGGAGATATTGCGATTTTACGATATTTTTTTAAATGAATGCCGTGCTCATCCTGAGAAAAGCTGATTTTTAAATTTCGACTTGAAACTTTCCGCTACAGACAGACATTAACAACAGTAGTTTCAAATCTCTTGATTTTCTTCTATTCTGAAATAAGAACATCAAATGTGCCGGCTTATATGAGCGATATAAAAGATACACTATTATTATACTTTTATCCTAGGATAGAAACAGCAATAGGATCTGAAACATTCGCAAACACTTTTTCTTTTTTCAGTTCTGTCGTTATGCAAAGTTTTCAGTCAAATTTTGAAAATTAGTTTTCCTCATGTTCCGCAGAAAGATCCGACATTTATTTAAAGAATACCGTAAAACGCAGTATCTCTGCAATAGTATGTAACTGGCACGAACTCTTTTCCGGATATTAATCACTCATTTGTGTCTATATAATGCACATAATTTCGACTCAAAAGCGATTTATCAGTTGGAGTACTTCCCTTGTCAGTATATGAATACTTATCAGGTACCTGCCTCGTTTCTAAAACATTCTATTGAACAATTTTTCAATAAATTAGTAGCTTGAATATTTAGAAACCTTTTGTAGTTAAATGCTAAAAATCTATAAAGTATCGAAAGGTTCTGCTGAAATATTTGTAGCAGAGTACCTGAGCTCAGTATATTCACTAGGGATTTAATAAGAGAGAAAAAAAATTAATTTTAGCGGACAGTAATTGTTATGATGGTGNTTTTTATAGTCTTTAAATAATTAATAGAAGATATCAAAATTAGATTTTTTTTTCAAATAATTTTTCTTAACATGAAAAAAAAAGCACGCAAAATCTCTAGTTAAGATAGCTATAAGGACAAATTCTTTTCAGAGAACATTTTTAATTATCAAACGGGTTTAAATTTTCAATGGTTTAGCTATGAATAGATAGACAATAGACTAATGAGGAATTTTTTCGACGAGGAAGCCTTTCCAAGTGTCCAATCACTTTTCCACAGAGATGATGTTTATTTGATGAGTGCTAGTAAGTAATAGAAACGTCTAGAATGCTTTGGTTTTTCAGATCTTTGTTCTTGATATATCGAAATTTTACTATGTTTTTTAGCAAAACACTGAAGTCACATGATATATTGACTTACGACTTCAGACATTGCACGAACAAAATTCTCCATGAGACTAGTTGATTTCGCAAGTTTTAGCTTTGCTAGTATTTCCTATGTGGAGATGTACATATATGAACAAAATTTGCTTTTATACATAAGAGAATTTTGAATATCTTAGTATAGGAGATATTAGAAAAGTTACAACGTGCCAAATAAACTAATTTCATTGTGAATTTTGTTCGTACAAAGTTTGAAATCGAAAGTTGATTTTTGATGTGACCACAGTTTTTTGTTGAAAAACATAGTAAATATTCGATGTGAGGAGAATAGAGATCCGGAACAGCAAACCCTTCTAGACTTTTCTATTGCTCATGAAATGAAGATCGTCTTTGTCGAAAAACGATTTGACATCTGGACAGTGACCCTCGTGAGATAGTTAAAAAATACTTTGTATACCATTTTTTTGTACACTATTTAGAGAATCATTAGACTACGAAAACTCTAGAAGAATATGCGTGTAAATTGCTATCTAGCTGAGATATCGAATTTTTAGTAGATTTTCCCTGTAAAATCTTAATTTTCCAGTAAAATCATATTTTCGAAAGTGTCTATATTTTGGAATCTAAATATCTTCGAAAATATTGTTTTACTGGAAAAATTCACTAAAAATTCGATATTTCAGTTAAACAGCAACTTGCATTCATATATACTTAGGACTTTTGTAATCTACGGATCTTTTAAGTAATGTACAAAAAAAATGAGATCGAAAACTTTTCAGCATCTCAAAAGATTCTCTGATAAGAATTTGTCCTTATAGCTATCTTAACTAGAGATTTTGCGTGCTTTTTTTTTCATGTTAAGAAAAATTATTTGAAAAAAAAATCTAATTTTGATATCTTCTATTAATTATTTAAAGACTATAAAAACAATTATATGAATGTGATATTAATCCATGTTGAGTACAATATTAAACAGATTATTGATGTTTTTATTCAAAATGTCATTGTAAATGTCAGGTTACAATTGAATCAATTGCTCTTACTAAAAAATGTACTATGCCTATCAATTTTAATTTTAATCTGAAGAATAATTTTCTACTTGTAAAAAAAAAACAAAAATATTCATTAATCAAAATTCTTCTTTCAGATATACCTAATATGTAACTTTTTTACTAAAGATTTAATGCATTGAACTAATACTCTGAGTTGTTTGTAAAGATAAAATTGTAAGTACTTTGAGGAGCTGCGGGAATCCACGTTTTCGTTGATCTGAAAAGATCTGCAGCTTCCTGCAGGAAGTCATGAAAAATCATAAAAATAAAATCGAGACATGTGCATTGCTGCTTCAAAGCTCATCTTATTCATTCTTCATTTAATCTATCTCTACTTTCTTTTTTTCCACATGGATATATATATATAAAAGAAAAATGAAGAGAATCTTCAAGACCTTCGTTAGTTTTGTCAACACGTTATGGTATTAGATCAAGGTCAATGATTAGCTTTTATAAGGTTTTAATATAAAATCTTACATTGATTGACTAGAAATGTATAATCAATAATAAAACCTAAACCAGTATTGGTTTGATCACTAATAAATTGAATCCATAAGGATCGTGTTAAAATATCACCACGTAGTGAAATTAAACAAGGATCAGGTAATTTTGAACCTGAAAAACGAAATAATTTCGAATTATATTTAGATACATCAGGTATAGTTTCTCCAATAAATAATTCATCATGTCCAAATTCAGTATCAAAATAACGAAATGTTAATAAAAGATTACGAAAATGAATCTTATTTGATATAGATGATAAATTAAATGTCCATGTACATTCAATATTGTTACTATATGATAAAAATACAATAGTACCACTAGTTTCATTTAATTCATAATTACATAAATAGACAATATACGGAAAAAATATTATAATAAAAAATAATATGTTGATATACATCTGAAGAAAATATTATAATTCCTATTTAAATATTTGTTTAGCCTTCAAAGAAAAACCTAATTATATGCAGATTTAAATATATTTATGAGAGAGTAAAGAAAAAAATGACGAGATAGTTAATAATATATCTATTAATTACTTTCATCGATAATGCTTATTGGCTGATTGGTGACAAGTATATTAATCAGATTTAATTAGGATTAATATGAAAAGGACATTCTCCTCAGTAATACAGAAAAATCAATATGAAGAAATGATAATTATCTGTGTAAACAAGCAGAAGCAGAAAAAAAGTGAAGGCCACGTACATATGCCCTATGGGGGTGAGCGTGATGTATAGCCTCGTGAGCAATCGACACTTGATAAAAAGTGAGGAAAAGAGAGAGATATGAAAACAAGGAATTAGAGATAAAAGAAAACAATAGTTTGGCAGCAAAGATGATAGTGTCACTGATATGATCAAGGATATAATAATAATAATAATGAAGGTTAGAAAAATAACTGTGAAAACAAAAAGAATGAATGGTGTGAACTCATCTAGGCAGATATATAATATTCCCTTAGACATATGCACAAGAGAAATAACAAAGGAAAACAAAACGAGGGATTGATACACTTCGTCAATAAATCATTTCTTTGAAGTTCAAGGTTTCTGTTAGTGAATAGAACATATTAAATTTCACGTATTCAGTGATCAATGCAAAGAACAGAATTACTTAGATGTAGTCAATATTAACACGACTTTGAACTTGAAGAATAGTTTAATGCAATGAGTCCTTGTGCCTATATTTACTTTAAAATAGACATAAAATAAACAATACCCTACTTAAATATGAGACGAACAAGAAAAAAGAAAATGACTTTTCCTTGTCTTATTATGTACTCATAAAAAATAAATTTTGTTCTTGAAAAATCTTAATGTTAAGTTATATTCTTTTTGCTACAGATCGATTCATTTGATGAAACATAAAGTAACTCATTAGAAAAAAGAACATATCTATCTAATTACCTGAATGAATGCATAAGTATTACATGTAAGACGTGATTAAATTCTAATAGCATTTCCTATGTGTAAGATTGTATAAAATGTTTTTATACATAAAAATGTATCTGATCTATTTATTTGAAGAAATAATACATTGGGGAAGTATTTTTATATATACCAAATTTGCATACGCATTCTAAATCTCTGTCCAATGTGTATATGTCCTAGCACACAGAAATTTGTTTTGTTCTATAGCATGCAAATCTATACAGAGATTTACATAGATCTAAATTAAATATGTTTATATAGTCAATAATTAGTAATACAGAATTGTCCTGTCGAACAATAAATCGTTTATTCTCAACATACCTTTAACATGCATCAATAACCAAATTAAAGAATTTTATAATATCAGTAAAGAAAAATATTTCTAGGATAATATTGTTATTCGGAATTTTTTAACTGTTATCAGTTATAATTAACCATCATCACCTGATACCAATGATAATAGTAGTAAATAATAACCATAGATCAATCAATTTTTAAAAATTACTTTTATCTTAATTTTAAATTTGATATTGTTTGTATAAGTCGGAAAATATTATAGAGTGGATACAATGATTATTGATATTCATAGACTATAATGTCTAAAGCTGAAAAATTCCCAAATAACAATATAATATAAAGAATGATAGCATAATAATTATAATAATGCAAGTACATTTTTATGTTGTTTTCTCTTCGTTCCTTGATTGCAATTATACTTTCAAGTATACCAATTTATATGAAAAGAAAAAAAATATTGTCTAATGTGTTCTTTTTATTACATTCATGTTTTTCTCTGTTCTGTTCTTGCAATCAACACTATAGATATTTTCATACAGTTTGATAAAACAAAAAAAAACACGTCAAACAAAATGCTTATCATAGGAGGTGATAAAGGCACTTAGAAAAATTATGAAGTTTTCCTTTCTGATGTATATATAAAAGTCAAGCTCTTTTGAAAGAGATATTCAAAACAATAATTTTATTAACATACGATGCAAAAGTAATGGTACAAAATGTCGACCTCTATATTTATTTGATTAATTAATAGGTTCTGAAACTAATTTTCTTCTTTTTATCAATTGATAGGAAACTTTCTCCTCTTTCGAACATTGTATGAATCATAATTTGTCACACGTTGTTAAGTGAAATGAGACGAGAAAAAAGAGAAATACTTGCAAAATAAGTTCGTAATTTTTATATGAATTCACAAAAAAAAAAAATCTTGTAGATGACAGTTAGTTATAATCAACTGTCATTTTACAAGATGTTTTTAAGAGTTTTATAAAAGTCAAAGTAATCACTGTTTTACGGAATCCTTTTAATGAATCTACAAAAGTCGATTTAATTATCGTCTAACAAAATGGTTTCGATGAGCTCATATAAAAATTACAAATTTATTGCGTGAGTATTTCTCTCTTTCTCTCGTATCGTTTCATTCATGTATGGGTGACAAATATAAATCATATGCTATTTGAAAAAGAAGAAAGTTTTCTATCAATTGCCAAAAAAAGATTATTTTTAGAACTTGATTGAACAGAGAGAAGAATTGACATTTTGTGTAGTTCTTGTATAGAGAAAGTGCATAGTTTTTCTAAGGGTGCTTCTCTTTTCTGTTGCATTATTTCGTTTATGAACGTGTATATTCTATTCGAAAGGGGAGAAAAAGCTCTATCGTTTGATAAAAAAAAAAAAACATTTACTTTCCGTACCCTTTTACCGAAGAGAATTAGGGATTGACATTTTGTGCCATTACTTTTACATTGTATGTTAATATTGGTGAGAATGATTACCGTTGTCTATAACCATTTATACATTAAGTTTTCATAGGAGATTTTTTAGAGAAATATGATTGAAACTTAACACAAAATGCATATAATCCTTTTTGTTTTTTTGTTTTGTTTATCGATCAGCCATTTGAATAGTATTCAAATATGTAATCCACAAATATTTATAAAAGAAAAAAAATTTGGCAATACCTGGAATTCTCAAGGTGAATAACATGAAATTTTCCACCTAAAACAATTTAGGATCCAGGTAATCATAAAGAATTTGACAAGTGCACATCTATTTGTAAGCGTCTACATGTAAAGATTTTGTGATTAATCAATGAGTATGTTCTATACAAATATTGAATCGATTTTCGTATGAAATTTATTAAACATCAGTACACACATCTGGTATGAACATCATGTCATATACACATCGTTCGATTACAATAAAACCACTTCAATGTGAATACCATCAGAACCAATTTAAAATGGCACAATTTACGGAGGTATCCATGATACGTTGTCCCTTTTTTTGGAACTTATAAGTATTCAGTTGCAATCATTTGTTGACCGCACAAGGTAACATTTTTCTTCTTTCTGACAATTAATTAATTCAACTGTTTTCTTTTAATCAGAAGTAGATCAACTCGTGTTGACATGATCTATGTGACCAGATGTTAGCATAAAAAAAAAACGATGAAATATTATACCCGGCATTTTTATTCTTGTCTAGTATCGTTGTTTTTCTTTCAAATATCTACGGTTAGTTCATCCCTTTTTTTTCTATGTGTTGAATGGTTGTTTATCATAACACAATATATGTATCATTATTTTTTTGCTTTTTTTACATCATCTGTTGCTCACATTATCGAGGCTGTTATTATTCATGGAACCGAAAATAAGCACCCATTGCTCAGAATAAACTGGTACTTATATTTGAGTGGTTCACTCCTAGAAAAATTCACTTACAAAGGAACCAACCCTGGCAGTACTTCCCGTTTGAGATCAGACAACCTTCATTAGGTAAGGTCTGTTGACAGTAGAAAAAACCAAGAAGGGTTTCTCCGTCTGCGTTTTTCTTCTGGAATTATGATCGTTTCATCGGAGTTTTTACCTTGGACTACGGTACTTATAATAAAAATGGAACAAACCAATTCTAACACGAAACTTTTTCAATAAACAGTTCTAAAGACTATTATAATATCATCAAAAATTTAGCCAAAAAGAATAGTTCCTTCTTGAAATATGAAATTTTAAAAAAACCATAGTATCCCATAAAAACAGAAACAAATAATCCGATGTTTTTTCTTTCGAGAATTTAATATCTCAAGAAGAAATCATTCTTTTTGCCTGAAGTCTTTATGATATTGTCATAATCTCAAGGGCTATTAAGGAAGGTCATAATTCATTTGTTGGAATTTTTATTAGTATCATACTCAAGGTAGAAAAATCCAGTCAAGCGACCATAACACCAGAGGGACAGCGCATAGGAAGGAATCCTTCTAGACTTTTTCTAGTATCAGCAGACCTTACTTCGCGAATATCGTCTCATCTCAAATGTGAGGTATGACCTGAAACGATTCCTTCGTTATATGGATTATCCAATATAAGGAGGTGCTCACATCAAGAGGTTATCCTAAACTATGTTTTTAACTACAGGCATTTGCATTCTACAGGTAAAATTCTTATGAAGATTTTACATGCAATATTTCTTTATATATTGAATATTGATTAGAGGTTTTTTAAGAAAAGAAAAATTTGAAATAAAATTATTCACAACATGCGACGAAACTTATCGGTTTTCATCATCTGCTTGTAAATAATATATACTATTTGAGCAATATTCTTATGAAAATGCATCAGTAGAATATATAATCATGAAAAAAAAACGCCAATGGCTAATGCTTGATTAATATACGAATAAGCCTTGAAAAAAAATAAAAAATGACTTTTTTGGAATCTTAGAAATAAATTAACACTTCATTTCTTTTTAATGTGATTATTATAGCACATGTATGGTGTGTTAATATGTAAAAAGAATTTTGTCAGATGAAAGATTTATTTTTGAATAGAATATTACCATGGATGTTAAGAAGTGAATATATTTTTTTTTGTTGCCGTTGATTTCAACAATATATTCATTTAATACTTCATCAAAAAAGGATCAAATTTCTAAATCAATAATAGATGATACGAGA